ATTTTATTCTATAAATATATTTTTATATTAAGGTTCTTAATGACTTGGTTGTTTCTGTTCATATGAAATTATTGCGTCAATTCTTGGTTTAATTTACTTTATTAATCTAATTCTCATAGCTCATGAAATGTCCAGTCAATTTCTGTTTTAATATATAATTATATATACTCGTATTATGTAATATGGTAATATTTATTGGTTTTATTTTTTCATACCTTTATTTTACTATTGGAGCTTTTTAATTTTTGTATTGATTTAAAATTTAGATTATACGCGTTCCTAAATCATAAGTTTGTGACCCCCAGGTTGAAAAACACTAGATTCTAGCCTACTCTATACAAAACTAAAATGAGGCTACTGCTCCAGGCTAAGCATTTATTTATTTATTTAATTATTTATTGATAATTGTTAATAAATACTGCAAGGCTGTTATGATTATACAGTTGAATCAATTATTGCAGAAACGTCACAAATCACATATTTTATTAAATTGAGATATTAGTAAATACGTATACTAATCATGTGTTTTTACACTCAACACATAGAAACACATGACTAGTTTACATTTTTATTAATATTTCAATTTCATAAAATATAAGACTTGTGGCGTTTCTGCAATCATCGATTCAATTGCAAATAATTTAAATAAAGTATGTTTTATCATGAAAATGTTTATAAAGGTTTCAAGAAAATTATAGATTAGATATTTCTTATTTTATTCTTATATTCAATTATGAGGTATTAAATTTCATGAATAGCAGATTCGTAGCTCGAAATCGTAAATAGATAAAAAAAAAATTAAAACAATCTTGTAAAATCAATAGTTTGTTGTTTATCTCTCTTAAGCCGGTCCCACATGACTCGTGTACTTTGCAAGCGTATACTTGGCGAGTGCACTTGCCAAGTTTGTACGATGTACGATGTTTGTAATTATGTTGCTCGTCATTGCCAATGCTCCTACACGACTCGTAATTGCCAACAATTAACAATAAATAATAGTCTATTTTGGAGGAAAATCCAAGATTAAATTTTTTATCAGCACAAGTCACTCGTGTTGTATCCGACACCGACGGGAAACCGTGAGTGACTCGGCGAGTAAAAATAATCGTCGTGCTTTACGATTAAATACCTCACACACGACTCACAAAGTAGTACGATTGACGAATATTCGCCGATTACACGAGTCGTGTGGGACCGGCTTTAGAAATTAAAATATTTTATATTGAAAAAATATACAATGACACTGTATTAACTATGTTAATGACTTGTGTTGGGCGAATGCAAGTTCTCGTACGAAGTAAGCTGGTAAAATCACCATTGGGTTTGTGTACGTTAATTCCTACATAAAAAAATAAACAGTTACGTAAGTTTCTACACAAATAAAAATGATAATGAATATAAATTTATTTCTCACCGTATTCAGCCTTCGGACTGACAACGTAGTTGATGTGATTAAAATTTGTTTGTTTAAATTTAGTTAAAAAATCTAATCCAATTTTCAATTGAATCTTGTTCATATGTAATAATGTATATTCCACAAACTACTTATAAACGTATTTAATATGATAATAATATTTTTAATTATATAGATAATAACAATAATAATAATAATAATAATAATTTTTTTTTCTCGTGTCAGGCACATAATTTTAAATAATAATAATCATAATAATAATAATAATAGTAATGATAATAATAATCAGGACTAGGATTTGTATGCAATAAAAATTGTAAAATATGCATTTTAATTTATATAAAATACACACAAAAACATAGTTAAAAAATAAATATATATATTTATTGAATTACATCTGTGATTGGCTGATTGTCTTAAAATAGTACAATTGAGAATAAAAATGAAAAATTATTTATTTATTTTTCGCATGCCTATTTATTATTATTTTAGAAATAAAATGTATGATTTACATTCAATAGTGGAAATACGTGTGCTACGACTACATGTTTTTTTAAATTGTCGAATATAAATTATAGATGGTTGGATCCTAGTATTCATTTATACTGGCTGGTATATATTATATGTGATAACAATTTTTTAATTAAACATATATATATAAAAAAAAAAAATCTTTATATTACAATTTAACCTGCGTCCACACCTAACAAACGTTTGACAAACATTTTATCAGTACAACGATTGTTTGTTAAATAATTCAGTTGTTCGCTATATGTTTGCCAACAGCCATGACCATGTAAAATGTTGAAGAAATTGCATATTGCATAGGCGCTTCTGGTTTTGTTATAATGCGTAATAAAACATAAAAAAAGAAAAAATTAAAAACAAAAACAGGTGGTGGAAAAGACAATTTTTCAGCGAAGAAAGACTTACATTGGTGAAAATTTCATTTTAGATTAACACGACTTTGACTTATTAGGTAAGTAATTTTACCAGAATGTCAAGTAGTGATTTTAAATTTTGAATTAATTTAATTGGCTCACAAGTCACAAAACAAAACACAAATTTTCGTGAAAGTATTTCTGTGTCAGTACGTTTAGCTCAATAACTTGATTTCATTCTACTAGTGATATGATTTATATCATTCTTTAATGTATACGTATAATTAGTTAATTACTTAACTAAATTTAAAATTATTTATATAAAGGTACATCGGTTACAAGTACAAACTTCAAATTATTCAAAATGTTCACTTAATGAGTGAACATTTTTGTTTGGATTATTGACAAAAAAATTGATTTTGAAATGCGTCTACATCAAACAAACAATCGAAAAACATTCGTCGAACGTTTGCTGGATATTTTTTAGTGTTCGGCGAACGTTTGACAAACGTTTTTGAATTCTTTGTTTGGTGTGGACGCAGATAGGTTAGTTAAGTTAGGTCAAAGGTTCGTTAAACATCCAAAATATCCAACCAACATATTTGTTGAATGTTTGTTTGGTATAGACGTGTTCCAAAACAATTTTGTTTTTCAATGTCCCAAACAAAATTGTTCACTAATTATTCGAACATTATGTCATACATTTTGTGAGGAACAAAATTATTTCATACAAATAATTATTTATTTACTATTTATTATTTGTAATATACACTTGGGAGTGGGGTTGATATTTAAAATCGTAATGATACGATTCACTAAACGACAAAAACACTAGACGCACTGATACTCAAATACTTTCGCGAAAATTTGTATATTATATACTTATGCTAGTATACCTACTGGTTCATTTTATATTTGCATCTTTTACACATTGCACATCTTGAGAAAGGTAAATAAAATACAATAAAATAAAAATTACAGTAAAACAATAATATATTTATTAAATTACAAAATTAATATTTTTTTTTTCATTTGTGAAAATTTATCAATAATTCTGTCAATATCTTATATTAATTTATCTGTGCACATCCAACAAAACCAATCCGCTTAATCTATTTTGCCCCATTGTGGACCTAAGCCATGTTTTTAATCTATATAAAATAAATGAAAAATTCAAATATAAGTACATTAATGTCAATTGCATAATCTAAACCTTTTTACAAACAAAAAATACTATTCAACTTCAATAAACTAGAAGATATTTTCAGCAAATGTAATTTATGATATTTTGTACAATAGTAAATAAGTTACTTTTAAATTCACTTTAAAAATGTATTAAGAATTTTGATGGAAAATTATTGTAATACTAAAAAAATATTTTTAAAATCGCAATTGCTGAAGTATATAATGGTTTAATACCAGTGCTCGAATTGGGGGGGGGGGGGGGGGGGGGGGACAGAGCTCCTCTGCTATTTTTTTTTGGGGTTTCCCAACTATATTTTTTCACCAGAACGGGGGGATGCCACATTCATCCTAATTGATGTCCAAAATAATCTATGTATGTGAATTTCAATTTACGTCAATTGGAAAATGAATTTTACGATTTATAATATTAAAACTATTTTTATAATTTAAGATTATATGGTGGTTATGAAAAGGAACAACGTCGTCATTTCTAAAAAAATATAAATAGTAATGTCTGTGAATTTGGTGATAATACTTCATACATTGTACGGTTTGTTATTAATATTGGCGATCAACGATATCGTAATTTCGGAAAAAAATAAATGCCTTTCACCACGACCTTAGACTTTTCTTCTAAGGCCGTGGCCCGCATTAAAGAGTAAAAATAAATAAAAATAATAACCAAATATATGATTATATCATTCGATTCATGAGACTGCCTGATCGCCTACAATTACTTATGTTAATTATTATTTTATTTTTATTTTCTATTGTAACATATAGGATGTTGGTATTGCTATCAAAATGTATTATATTTGGAATTTAAATATTTGTTTAGCTAAAAAGTGGTATTCAAAATATATTTAAGGTTGGTGGAGGGGGAGGAGAGGGACGAAGCCCCCACGGGTCTATGTCAAATAATTGCACACGTGGAACGTAGTTTTCAAATCTTTGGACTGAGCTCCTCTACTTAATTTTTCCCAATTCGAGCACTGTTTGATACTAATTATATATACTAATCATAAGCGTAACTAGTCCTTTAAGTAAGGGGGGGGCTAGATTTCTAAAAATGTTTTATAGCAATTTTTTTAAATTAAATTATCATTTATTTTTATTGGTGTTTACAACTGAATTGAATGGTTATTCGTTTTTATGAAACACTATATTTTTTTATATTGTAGGCAAAAATTAAGTTAATACTAATTTGTTTATAAGCACATACATTTACTCAAAAATTCTGGGGGAGCTAACATAAATTTATAATAGCTCCCCCAGAATTACATAAATTTATAATATAAATAAATAACTTGGGCAATGGGAGGGGGCGATCTCCCCATCGCCCCCCCCTCAAATACACCACTGTCTCTAATATTACTCTCAAGGATGTGCTGAATGTTGCTAACCTTGAAAAACGAGTAGTCTCAATTTAGTTGATATTATACAAGATATTAGAACAGTTTATTAACTACTAATTGTATTTTAGTAATACTACATAAAAGTAGTTGCATTTTAATACTACGATGTTCTCAATATTACTTCAAATTATATTATGTTTGTGTCCGATTTTGATCGACTGTAATACAAGTTCAACGTTTCCACCATTATTTGAATCATTGGTTTCGTACTTAGAAGAGACTTTAGAATGGGAGTCAAAAGAAAGTACCATCAGGACAAACGTTCTTCCAGAATACGACTTTATTGTGGTTGGAGCTGGAAGCGCGGGATCGGTGGTAGCTAGCAGATTATCCGAGGTAAAGTTATTTTTTTTCCAATTAAATATAAATAGACATGTAAATGAGTTTTGTAACGTGATGTTTTAAAATGTATACTCGTATTCAGATCGATAATTGGCAGGTATTGCTAATCGAAGCTGGAGAAAAGGCTTTACATATTATGGATATACCGTTATTAGCTCCATATTTTCAAGAATCGTCAATCAACTGGAAATACAGAACAGTGCCAAACAATAATTCGTGCTTAGGTTCTGAATATTTTGAATTTTAGTAAAAAGTACACAAAATCAAGTATTTAATTTTTTTATAGGTTATGAAGGTAAACGGTGTAAATTCCCGAGAGGAAAAGTTATGGGCGGAAGCAGTGTATTGAACTATATGATATATACACGTGGTAATAAAAAAGATTACGACAATTGGGCAAAAATGGGTAACACAGGTAAACATTTTATTTTATTATTCAGTTCAGTTCAAAACGTAAAGGAATTAAATAATTTTATTATTAAAGGGTGGAGCTATGATGAAGTTCTTAAGTATTTCATTAAATCAGAAAATGCAAACTTATCACATTCTGATATGGATTATCACGGAAAACATGGGTTACTGTCAGTGACTGACATTCCATACCGAACGCCTATAGCAAGAGCTTTTGTGGACGCAGGATCAAAAATTGGACTACCTGTAATTGATGTTAATGGCAAAAATCAAATTGGAATTAATTATATACAGGTAATTTTATAATCATGTTAAAATACTTCCAAAACAGTATTATTTTATCAAATATATGAACACAATGTAATCGTATAAATTTATTACATTGGAGTTATAATTTTCATATTCAAAGGGCAGAATAGACAGAATATTAGCACTTGGGTAGGACATTTCTTTAATTATTTCAAGGTAAATTATGATATATTCATGATAAATTAAATTTAAAAGCGATGAAATCATAAAAAAAATAAATGCAAGTATAATTATAAAACTAAAAGTATTACAAAACCATAATTTTTTATGTATTTTTTTTCCGACATTTATTTGATTTTTGTTAGTTTAATAATAGCCTAACCTTTTTTTAAGTGTATTGATGAATTTCAAAATATTTTGATTTTTACATTTAATAAATGTAAACAACTTTTATGTAAACTTTTAGTATTGTTGTTTGTCCTTCGTAGGTAATCTTGGATACAACAAAAACAATTCAAAATGTATGTAGATAATAATGTTTAGACATCATCGAGTTTTTTCTCTCATTACTCTTTTGATTCAATCGTTATTATTTTCTTAATTCAAAATCCTCTAAGTTCCATGCTATAAAACTTATGCAGCGGGCTATATCAAGATGTTAAAATCAACAACATCCAATGAATACTGATTCAAACAATTGCTTAATCGAGCATCTTTTGGAAAATGAATTTCATTTAAAAAAATTTTGATGAAAAATTAACAATTGTAAAATATTGTCGACCATGTCCGGAAATTCCAAAATTGATATCTAATCATAAAGAAAAAACAAAGTTTACATTTGTCATTTTAATATTTCTAATTATTTTAATACTTCATGGTTGGCTGGTAGTGCAAAATTAAATAAACTTTTCTGTTGGCCTTGTGTTTTATTCACCAGGGAAAAAAATGTTTGATCTCATAGTGGTTTTGTTAATTTAAATAATTTAACAAACACATATTTCTTCTGTTTTAAAATTAAAAATGTTAAAAATGGAAAATCTAGAATTGATTTGCAGCTTGATGAACAAAAACGTTCAGATGTAATACGCCATAATGAATTGGTAAAAAAAAAAAATAGAGACGTTTTAAAAAGTTTTATTGATTGTGTTTGTTTTTTGGCGATCCACGAATTACCATTTCGTGGTCACAATGAAAGAGTTGATTCTTTCAATAAGGAAAATTTCCTTGGTTGTTTAAATTTATTATCATCTTATGATTCTATTTTAAACATGCATTTAGAAACATCAAAAATATTCCGTGGTACATCCAATAGAATGCAAAATGATCTTATTTGATCAATTAGCAACATTATAATTAGCAACGTCTATTGAATCAGAAATAAAAAATTCTATTTTTGTTGCAATATTATTAGATGAAACTTTAGACATAACAAATCTGTCTCAATTATCAACAACTTTAAGGTATGTTCAGCATGAAACCGGGGAAGCACATGAACGTCTTATCTCATTTGTCGACGTTAGTGCTGATCATGGCTTAAGATAGAATGGTTGCACAACGAATCATTATTTTGTGATCACCAATTTATCTTATCAAAAATCTGTTAAAAGTTACATTATAGCACTATCTAGTTGTTTACATAAACATCATAAAAATTGTACTCTTATTTTGTATTTTCGTGTTCACAAAAGTTACAAAAAAAAAAAACAGGAACAAAATAAATGCTATAAGGATTCATCAATGGATGGTCATAGTTCACAAAACTAAATCTTTTTATTTATTTATTTTTTAAAACCACTTAATTCGTGCGTAGTGCCTATTGTAAAAATTAATATTTTTTATTCTAAATATATATAAACTCTAACATACTTTTTCTAGATTTAACTGGTAACTATATGGTTCCAAATTCTCTAACAAGCAAAAAGGACATTCGACTGATCGAAAAAAAAAATGTACTAAGTGGTACTTCCAGTAATATGCTATCTGCAAACTACCTCTCATATCTCGTTATAATTTTTAAGTATAAATAATACTATAAACCCATATCGACCGTATAACCCGTTGGATACCAACCGGAAATCGATAAAAATAATAGTCGATATAGAATAATAGATAATTTGTTTAGTGTTCAGTTCAGTCGGTTATTATCCGTTATTGTTTTTATGTCGAATCATAATTAAAACGTCGTAGGCATATGTATGTATAATGCCGAAAGTACGAGTATTATAATGCATATTTTAATGATTTTAGTAGCATATTTGTATATTTTTTAGAGCTATAAGTCTAATTATTACTATTTGTATTGCTCATCGGCATCGGCACTCGACGTTCGTTCCACGGAAATTTTAGTCTGTTATTTATAACTTTGGTTTCAAGTTTAAAATATAAACTGTTTTATATTTGATTCATAAATTTATTTTATTCTTTTACAAAAATTCATAAATTATAATTTCACTATATGGAAATAACAGGATTGAAACGGGACAATCTTCTGAAAACGGGATAAAAAGCGTCCCGTTCGAAGTTTCTCGGGACAACGGGACATAATGATCAAAAAAGGGATAATCCCGTTTTAAACGGGACGTATGGTCACCCTAATCTATAACCATACTGTGGGGTCTAGTAAATTTCGCTGCGATCCTTTTACCGACGGACTATTCACCACCATTCATTATGCTGCGATCGTTTTCCCGCTATCCTATTTTTTTTCGTATAACGTCAATAAAAAAATATTGGTTGGGTTATAAAAATGTTGAAATTTTGATACAATATTTTTCACAAAATGTTTTTACTCGTGCAAAAGAATTTCAAAAATCCGCATTTACAATTTTTAAAAATAAGCGTTTAAATTTTAAATGTTGATAAAAATCACGAAATCTGCCTATTTTTAGTAATTAAAAGTTGATAAACATTTCAATATGTATACTTATGTAAGATTTAAAAATGTAATATAATGAAATTGCTCTTTCCAGCGAACTAAAAAAGTTTACCGAAGCAGCGCAAAAAAAATGTTATTAGCGTTAGAAAATTATATTTTGATGAAATCTAATGTTTCCGCAATAAAATCCAAAATCATTAAAAATGTATACCACCTCTAAAGAAAATCCATATAAATAGTGAACATTTCAAGTTCCTTACGATTATTGCTTTTTGAATTACATTTAAAAAGAAAAATCGAAGTCGGCAGTCAGTAAATATTGTCATTTTTTTTTGCAATTTTTCATTACTTTTCCGCAATTATTGGGAAAACTGTTAAGAAATTTAAAAAATGACTTCTTTAGTCTCCAATGAACCCAACTAGACAACATTTGCTATCGAAAACCAAACCTAAAGTTGTTGATCGTATAATTTTTACTAGGATATTTGATATACACAAAAATTAAAACACATCATTCTAAAATTAATACATTTTTCGTTTCAATCAGAATCTAAAATTATTTTACGTAAATTCATTTTCAAACTCAAATGTCAAATTATTAATTCGTGTCTCGTGGTGAGTTCAGATAGACAGAGAATGATTGTATTTATTAGAAGTTAATCGATCGACTAGGAATTATTTTGAAAATAATATTTAAAAATAGATATTTTATAGAATGTATTATTTCTTTGCTCCTTTGGAGTGCCTCTTTGGTAGGAACATATTATTTACATAATCTTATTATGAGACTATTGTCTCATACTCACTACTCCCCAGTCAGAGTATACATAAACATGAAACATTCAAGTTTGATTATAGTTAATATTTTAAACAAAAGAATGGTATGATGTTGATTGGACTCATAGCCGTCCCAAGAGGTAGGGCAAATGGGACAAATGCCCTAGGGTGTATAAAGTATTATCAATTTAAGGGGCGTCATAAAAATTAAAGATAATAAGAAAAACTAGGTATTTTTTTTTTTAGATAGGTAAGCATTCATTTTTCGTTAGTATTGAAATATCAAAGTTGAGCATCTATCAAATAATACAATATACATATTAATAATATAATAATAATAATATATTAATAAATATGAAATTATGTAAATAATATGTTACATCCCTACGTGTATAAATATTACCGTAGAATAGAATATTATTGATCAATTAATAATGATAATGATATATTAATAAGATTAATAATATAATATATTATACATATTATATATTTAATATATATATTAACAATATTTATCACAATTTATGACATTGTAGGTATTATATAGGTAGTATGTACCAAGTACCATGGTCCAAAAAATTGATTTCATATTATAATGAATATTATCTGTGTATTATAATTAACAGAGGTATAAATTTCATATTATGGAAAAATACTGTAATGCTCACTATATAATGACCGAAAATCCTTAAAATATGCCCTACCCTAAAAATATAAAAAGAAAAGAAAAGTAAATCAAAATTTAATTTATTATCTTTAACTGACAGTTTTTTTATTTTTAGAATTAGTATCTATAATAATAATTTTATGAATATATTTATTAAAAAAAAAAAAAAAATTATCTTCTATTAAAAATTTAAAAAAATCGGGACAAAAAACAAAAATATGAGAATTTTTCTTATAATATTATATATATTTATTTATAAATAATAATATAATATATATTATAAATATAATATAAATACTATTTTTCAGTCAGTATAAATAATATTTATGATAAATTCTAAATAAAGCATTATATTATTATGTTTATTGGCAAATAATAGCACCTAAACCAGTGGCGTATTTTGAGATTTTTTTTGGGGGGGTGTCCTGACTCCTGGCAATACTTTATCTCAACAAATATTAACATAGTTTCATCACGAATTCATACCTAATTATAATACATCTTAATACCTTACATAAATGGTAATTTTTTAGTAAAAAAATCTTAGGATATCTACCTAAATTCTTAATTATTCAGCAAAAAATAAAATCGTTGAAGGTACTTCGAGTGTACTGTATACTGTACACAGTATATACTTTATATCGTCGGCCTTTGCTATAGTAATTAGTTAACAATAACTTGTATTTGAAGAAAGATAATAAGGCGATAACCAATAATACGGCTCAC